TATCTTGTTAGGCTCAGAGAGCAAATGCCAATGGGAACTTATGGAAACAGGTTTATTAATTCGATTTATCTGAACATTTTCCCCCAAATTTAGTTTAATAAAACATGTTTAGGGAGCTATAAAGCCTTTACTCTTGTGTGGGAATCTCATGTGATCATGACTGGTACCCTACTCCTAATAGTGTATAAGCAACAGTATTGTAGAAAATAATGAAAAATTAAAAAAAAAACTAGAACAACATTTGACCATTTTCCCCTAATATTTTGAAATTATTCTTAAGATTAGACATCAACCCTTACATCATGAGGTTAGATAGAAATTATCTTTGATATGCATATATTAGAAACAGTGTTTATAGACAAATCAATGTCTTGTACTGTTTTAATCAAAGACTAAAACATTTGTCTGTTGCTTTGCCAGTTTATGAGACTCTTCTTGATTCTCATGATTAAATCCTTCATGTAGAGTATTGATTTAAGAAGACAGTAGATCCAAATGTAAGGTCTTATCTGGAAATGTTCAGAGAACATATAAACACAGTTTGGTTTATTTATTATATAACTTGATTAAGTGTGATCCCTTCTTGTGAAATTATAATTTGGAAACTTAAACACAAAACGTCAGGAAATAGAAAAAATTGAGCTCAACGCCTGACGAATTTTCGGACCCCACTAGAATATTAGGCTAAGCTTTAATTTAGGGGATAGAGACGTCACAATGTGCTGTTCAGACTTTTTATTTTGTAAGCTGCTCTAAGAAAAAACTTTTTGGGGAGGAGGAATTTGTACTCTAGCCTCTTCTTTTCATTCCAGAGTGAGGAAATTTAGCTTTGAAATAAATGTCAAGTTCTCATACCTTATAATAATCTCCTTATAATAATGACCTTATGGTCATTGGAGTCAGTTCAATCATCTCATGAGCTAGAAACTGGCAAGAGCACACCAGAACTAAAAGCAAACTTTGGTTTCTCTTGGAAAGTGCCAGAAGTACCTGTCTTCCTAATATATAGATAACTGCAATGGATTTGCTCTTATTTCATCATCAAATTTTTTTTGGTGTGTTTATCAACAGGAAGATCTATAACCAGTACTTTAATTTTCTTCAGTTGGAGATACCCCCAGTCTGTTTATGAGAATAGTACTCCTTTCCCACCATCAATCTGCTAAGATCATCTTGAGGGAACTACAGAGGGGTGTAGGGCTCAGCAAAGAGGCCTTGGTGGTGAAGAAGCTCAGAAAGAGATTTGGAGTAGCCCGTCGTCCCCGTCCACTCTAACACAGTTTCCATCTCCCCTTCTGCCAACTTTTCAGAGCTAATGCATAGCTTCACCATTGAAAGAACAGACGTAGAGAAACATCAGAGTCCTGAAACTTTTCCGGCATATTTTGAATATAAATAATCTTGGCTCTAGTCAACAGCAAACTATTTGTTCATATGTACTATGGCTCTCTCTATATATTATATATATAAAGTATATATATTTGCTCATTTGGGGGCTTGTAATAACTTTGGATTTTGTCCTTTGTGAGACGACAACCTAAAGATTGTTATCTTTTCCACTGGCTCCAAGTTTTAAAGCATTTTAGGTTAAGTTTTATAATCATGTAAAAGTTGCATGTCAAGGCAAGAGATAAGCATTACAAGGCAGGTGGATTCTTTTGTAGCGTAGATATAAAACACTTATTTCTTAAAGACTTATCTTACTAGGAGAGAAAGTCTTGATATGAGGCAATATCACCACAAAGAAGAGAGGCTTATAAGAGAAAGCTATTCTCACAGCAGTAGTTTTGCTCTCAAAAAATAGTGGCTGAAGTCAAGACTGGCACTTAGACCATGGAGAAGGATGGTATAATACCATGCATAGGGTAGAGGAAATATATACATGCATTCAGAGGAACACTGATTTCCCATTTAAGCTTTGTTAGAAACTATTAGAGGTTTTATAATTCTGTTGACAATCATCTTATTTGGAATATGATCTGCTTATATAAAAATAATATTTAATGTGAAAGCTCTCAATACTTAAAAGTCTAGTGAAATAGCAGCTTTAAAAGCTGAGTCACAGTCTAATTTACCATCACAATTCACAGTTTCCTTCAGTATTTTACTTGTTAGATTAATCCCATCTCAGCAATACCTTTAGGTTCTTGCCTTGATGATGTGGAAAAATATGCACAAACGTCTGATATTTCTGAGCATGTGGGCTGTGACAAATTTAAATGTGTTCTAATAGTGCATCTGCATATAAACAGCTGAAGATTTATGGTTGTTTTTTAACTTAAAGATGAGGAAATTGACCACTGTGGGATAATTAAAAATAACAACTCTCTGGGAAAGCAGGGGCTAAGTTCTTAAATGCCAGGGCACCAAGAGACAATATCCTCCAATCTAAATTGAGTAATTTATATCTTTGTCACTTGAAGATCAGACATATATTTGAGTTAATGAATCACCCCACCTACATCCCATAACTAAAGCAAATTTTGTTTCTTTTTCACAGGCAAGGTTTTAGTCAATTGAATAATAAATCATCCTGCCTTTTCCTGAATCATAAGATAGGGAGACTCTTACAGGCAAGACCACAATTAAATGATACCCTAGAAGAGAGATTCTAACCTGTTTTAAAAGAATGCCTGAAGGAAACAGCCTAGATTACTTTGGCTACACTTTTCAGTGTTTAAAATAGTAATATCATATGGCTGTTTTTAAACATTTTCAGTTTTTCGCTGAAGATCTGTCTTAAATGCTCATAGGTCAGGAATGAATCAACTTCTGGATAACCCCAATATCCTGGTCAGTGCCTCCTGAAAGTCCTACAGAGACCAGGTGTATGATGAAATGTTCCTCTCCCTTCAAAAAGATTAACCTTACAAAGAATATTCATGAACATTTTCTCTTTTGAGTCTCACAGTAATGCTCTATTATATATAATGATTATTAGTTCCTACTTAAAAGCAGAAATTAAGATTCAGAGAGGCTAAGTAACTTACCCAAGGTCACTAGTGAGTGGAGTAATACCAACTGGAGACTAGTTATTTCTACCCTAAGGACCATGCCTTTTGCTCTCTATACCTTGCTGCCTCTTTGATATGCTTTATAAAATTGGGCACTTTAAACATGCACTAAGGTACTTTTGGGAAATTTGTCCCTGGGAGAATTATCTGAATTGATAATATGATTGGGAGCATTGTTAATCTGAGTCTATGGTCTGAACAGAAGAAAGTATAAAGAAAAATCCAGTTTTAAGTGGCATTGTTCAGATATTCAGTGCAAATGAATTGGGAGTGATAGACACAGTGGATGGTCCAGGACTAAGATGAAATACATCGTCTTATGATTATGAGTGTTCAGAGGACTGGACCTGAAATTTAGAAAAGACAATAGGTGAAAAGACCTAGACACACCCAAGACGGAAATAGCCACAAGAAATTCACCTGCTTAAAATACACTGATCTGTGCAGATGAAGTTTGATGTCCTGTTGACACTGTTGTTCAGGGAAGGGCCAAGTGGGCTGAGGAAATCGGGACTCTGTGAGACTAAGATACAAGAACACTTACAGAAATGGGTAAAAGGTAAGATGCAAGTGTTCCCTGTGAAATCTTATGGCAAAAGGCTTTGAAATTTAATTCACATTGGAAGAATCTCAAAAATTAGTGGAGCCATTCATATTTCTGTTTGGTTTTACACAGTGGCTGCTAATAGCATTATACTGAAATGTAGGTGTGAATCTCATAATGTTCATTTATTTTTATTTTTTTATTGAAATATAGTTGATTTACAATGTTGTCTTAGTTTCTGGTGTACAGAAAAGTGATTCAGATATATATTACATATATTACTATATATATATTCTTTTTCATAATGATTTATTACAGGAGATTGAATATAGTTCCCTGTGCTATACAGTAGGACCTTGTTGTTTATCTATTTTGTATATGGTAGTTTGTATCTGTTAATCCCAAACTCTTAATTTATCCCTCTCCCATTCCCTTTCCCCTTTGGTAATCATAAGTTTGTTTTCTACATCTGTGAATCTGTTTCTGTTTTGTAAATAGGTTCATTTGTATCATATTTTAGATTCCACATATAAGGCATATCATACGGTATTTGTCTTTCTCTTTCTGACTTACTTCACTTAGTATGATAATCTCTAGGTCCATCCATGTTGCTACAAATGGCATCAATTCATTCTTTTTTATGGCTGAGCAATATTCCATTGTATATATATCACATCTTCTGTTTATGGACACTTAGGTTGCTACTGTGTCTTGGCTATTGTAAATAGTGCTGCTATGAACATTGGGGTGCATGTATCTTTTCAAATTAGAGTTTTCATCTTTTGCTGGATCCTATGGCAACTCTATCATAAATGTTCATTTAAATTGTTTACCTGTGTCTGAAAAATTGCTCAGGTGAGAGTCATTTGTCTATTGTTAGCTCTCAATCTGACTTTCAAGTTGCCTTTATTCTTCAAAATAATTTGAGGAAAAAAAGTGATTTTTTTTTTTAGTTAAGCTATATTGTAAGCCCTTTTTGATGTAATGCATGTTAAGGTAAAAATCTTTTATTTGAACTAGTTTTAAGTATAAAAATTAAGCTGTTGCAAAGTGTAAATGAGGAAAACTTTTTAAAGAAATCCAGCTTTATTTCTTCCATATAGCTATAGGGACATGAGCAAGGTTGTCAAAATACCAAGAGGTAGAGGATCTTAGGAAATCTACTTTAATGAACAAATAAGAGTGATTTGTAGTTAACTTAATACTTGATTTTATTTCAAAGAACACACAGGCATTGGAAAAATAAGTTTTTTTCCTGAACTTAATAATATCAATTTTCTTGGCAATTTCTCTTTTCCAAAACAGTGAAAAGGTAAAATTTAGGCTAGCTCCTGTCCAAATAATCATAATAGCTGAATGGAGCCTGAGGCACTCATAGAGTGTTATTGAATTTGTCTATTTTCTTAAGGAAATTGACTCATTATTTTCAAATTGCTTTACAGGATCCTGCAAACCAAAAATGTGGTGGAAGAAAGAAAACCGTGTCTTTCAGCAGCATGCCATCAGAAAAGAAAATCAGTAGTGCGAGCGACTGCATCAGCTTCATGCAAGCTGGCTGTGAACTGAAGAAAGTACGGCCAAATTCTCGCATTTACAACCGTTTTTTCACACTGGACACAGACCTCCAAGCTCTTCGCTGGGAACCTTCCAAGAAAGACCTTGAGAAAGCTAAGCTTGATATTTCTGCCATAAAAGAGATCCGACTGGGGAAGAACACAGAAACATTTAGAAACAATGGCCTCGCTGACCAGATTTGTGAGGACTGTGCCTTTTCCATACTCCACGGGGAAAACTACGAGTCTCTGGACCTAGTTGCCAATTCAGCAGATGTAGCAAACATCTGGGTGTCAGGGTTACGGTATCTGGTTTCTCGAAGCAAGCAACCCCTTGATTTTATGGAGGGCAACCAGAACACACCAAGGTTTATGTGGCTGAAAAAGGTGTTTGAAGTAGCAGATATTGATGGGAATGGGATTATGCTGGAAGACACCTCTGTAGAGTTAATAAAACAACTCAACCCTACCCTGAAGGAATCCAAGATCAGGTTGAAGTTTAAAGAAATCCAGAAGAGCAAAGAAAAGCTAACCACCCGAGTGACCGAAGAGGAGTTCTGTGAAGCTTTTTGTGAACTTTGCACCAGGCCAGAAGTGTATTTCTTACTTGTACAGATATCTAAAAACAAAGAGTATTTGGATGCCAATGATCTCATGCTTTTTTTAGAAGCTGAGCAAGGAGTCACCCATATTACCGAGGACATGTGCTTGGACATCATTCGGAGATATGAGCTTTCTGAAGAGGGACGTCAGAAAGGGTTTCTTGCAATTGATGGCTTTACCCAGTATTTGCTGTCACCAGAATGTGACATTTTTGATCCTGAACAAAAAAAGGTTGCCCAAGATATGACCCAGCCATTATCTCACTATTACATCAACGCCTCTCACAACACCTATCTCATAGAAGACCAGTTCAGGGGGCCGGCTGACATTAACGGGTATGTTAGAGCTTTGAAAATGGGCTGTCGAAGCATTGAACTTGATGTAAATGATGGTTCAGACAATGAACCAATCCTTTGTAATCGAAATAACATGACAACACACCTTTCCTTTCGAAGCGTCATAGAGGTGATAAATAAATTTGCCTTTGTGGCTTCTGAGTACCCACTCATTCTTTGCTTGGGGAATCACTGCTCCCTACCCCAGCAGAAGGTAATGGTTCAACAGATGAAAAAGGTCTTTGGCAGTAAACTCTATACTGAAGCACCTTTGCCGTCAGAATCCTACCTCCCATCACCAGAAAAATTAAAAAGAATGATCATTGTGAAAGGAAAGAAATTGCCTTCTGATCCAGATGTTTTAGAAGGAGAAGTTACAGACGAAGATGAAGAAGCTGAAATGTCTCGAAGGATGTCAGTAGATTACAATGGTGAGCAGAAACAAATCTTGCTGTGTAGGGAGCTCTCTGACTTGGTGTCTATCTGTAAATCTGTTCAGTACAGGGATTTTGAACTATCTATGAAAAGCCAAAACTATTGGGAGATTTGTTCATTTAGTGAAACAGAGGCCAGCCGAATTGCAAATGAATACCCAGAGGATTTTGTAAATTATAATAAGAAGTTCTTATCACGAATCTATCCAAGTGCCATGAGAATCGATTCCAGTAACTTGAATCCACAGGACTTTTGGAATTGTGGCTGTCAGATTGTGGCAATGAATTTCCAGACTCCGGGTCCAATGATGGACCTTCACACAGGCTGGTTTCTTCAAAATGGAGGATGTGGTTATGTTCTAAGGCCGTCTATCATGCGAGATGAAGTTTCTTACTTCAGTGCAAATACAAAGGGCATTGTACCTGGGGTGTCTCCTCTAGTGCTTCATATTAAGATCATCAGTGGTCAGAACTTCCCAAAGCCCAAGGGAGCTTGTGCCAAAGGGGATGTCATAGATCCCTACGTGTGTATAGAGATACATGGGATTCCAGCCGACTGTTCAGAACAAAGAACTAAAACTGTACAGCAAAACAGTGATAATCCTATTTTTGATGAGACATTTGAGTTTCAAGTGAACCTGCCTGAGCTGGCCATGATCCGTTTTGTGGTTCTCGATGACGACTATATTGGGGATGAATTTATAGGGCAATATACAATACCGTTTGAATGTTTGCAGCCTGGATATCGGCATGTTCCCCTCCGCTCCTTTGTGGGTGACATCATGGAGCACGTGACTCTTTTTGTCCACATAGCAATAACTAATAGAAGTGGAGGAGGAAAGCCACAGAAGCGCAGCCTTTCAGTGAGAATGGGGAAGAAAGTTCGGGAGTATACCATGCTCAGGAATATCGGTCTTAAAACAATAGATGACATCTTTAAGGTAGCAGTTCATCCCTTACGAGAAGCCATAGATATGAGAGAAAATATGCAGGTAGGAAAAATCCCATACTGTCCTCCCTTACCCCTGAGTCTTCTGACCCCTCGCTCACCAGTGAACATTGTGTTTTACTAATGATCTGATTCCTCAAAAAATTATCACAGAGGATGTGTAACCCCATGTACTGCTGAATTGCCTGTGATAAAACAGATATTTAAAAAATAATTTATTGGGGTATAGTTGATTTACAATGTTGTGTTAGTTTCTGCTGTACAGCAAAGTGAATCTGTTATACATATACATATATCCACTCTTTTTTAGATTCTTTTCCCATATAGGCCATTACAGAGTATTGAGTCGAGTTCCCTGTGCTATACAGTAGGTCCTTATAAGTTATTTATTTTATATATAGTAGTGTGTATGTGTCAATCCCAATCTTCCAATTTATCCCTCCCCCCCCACCCAGTAACCATAAGTTTATTTTCTACATCTGTAACTTTATTTCTGTAAAACAGATATATTTTATGTTTCTAATGGTGAATGCTATGTTAAATCTGGCCTGAACTAAGCCAGCTAATGGAGTATCAATGTAGCAAAATGCTTTATATATCCATTAAATGTTCCTAGTACAAAACTAAATTGATATATGGGAATGTGTATATGAAACAGCGTGAAAAGAATAGAATATAAAATATTATATGTGCATGTAACATACAAAATTTTATATATACAAACACATGCATACTAATTATAAGTATACATGTAAAATATTTGCAGATAAGAACACAGAAGGGTATTTGAAGTCATATAAAACAAATGTAATGCCTATTAGATGATGTCTTAGTTGTTTGTGTACAACAATAATAAATTACCCTCCACGAAACAAAGAAGACTAATAAACAAACAACATTCAGCACTTGAACTTGTTGCAAACTATTTAGTCTTCTCTTAGAAATGTGCTTTAATTGAAAGGACATGGATTCTGGATTAAACTCTATCCCTGTGTGATCTTGAGCAAATTATTTCAGATATCTGGCCATCAGTTTTCTCCTCATAAGGTAAGAAAAATAGTAATAATTACATCACAGGATTATTATGAGAATTAAATGAGAGTATATGTAAATTACCCAGCCTTAGCATGTAGGAATTCAGTGTCAGTTTTCTTGCCTTCATTAATGCTTAATAATCAGAGATGGCTGCAAACTTTTTTCTTCAAGACTATTTAATATGCTTATTCTAGGCTCATGTTACTAAGAAATAATCAAACGGCAAATGCTTGCTTAGTTCCTGCAATGTGCAAGAAGATGTTGTTTGGCAGAAGCAGTAGGAGTCTATGTATGAGAGCAAAACAGGAGAGGAATATTTTTCAATGTACTTTATCTGTTCCTTTAACTAACATTTTTATAGTAACCTTCACCAAAAATCCCTACATTCAAAATAGAAAACAAGCTTGAAGAGGTTAAGTAATTTCCCCAATATTGCATTTAATAAATAGGAATATTGAGCTTTAAATCCAGAATTAACCACCACCAAAACCCAATGACGATTCATGGTTTTTAGTCATGTGATGCTGAACGCCAAACCATGACTTGGTGAAAACTTTATTTTTACATTATTTCACAGAGGAATCCTGGAATGGGTTTAAAATCAATTTTAAATCACCAAAATGGTAGAAAATACTATATTATATAAACCACATACAAATACTTAGATTGTAAACGTATAACTTGTGGTGGGTTGCCTTGGCTGCTGTTTTAAAAATAGGCTCCAAATGTCAGCATTATCTACCTGACTTTTTCTGACATAATTCTATAACTATTATAAACCCCTATGTTAGATTAGTTATAAGTCATTTCGACACCTGACTTTATATATTAGAAGTAGATTTTATGTAGTTCTATATAATTCTTGGAATATGTCCTTTGCATGTATTACGTGTTTAAAATACATAATAAGGAGAGTTGGCTATAGGTAAAATTTTTCCAGTTAGTGCTGATAATTTATCTCACCTCAAATTTCTTTTGGTTTGGGATTATTTAGAGCCTAATTACTAGAAAAATGAATACCATCATTGTCACTAAATTCATGAGACACACATTAGGTTAGGTATTGTTCATTGTTAGTAGGCATAATTTCTATTTCAGATGGATCTTTTAAACGCCTGTCACATGGACAAATGTAGCTTTACGTGAAACGTGTTTTATTATGTGTGTCTGTCAGGTGCATTTCTGGTGAGATGACAAAGGAATACCACTGATGGTTATGTGAAAGGAGGATGATGAGTAATTGCAGCCTGCTACCTTGAGGGGAAAAGCTCAAAGAAGATGCACTCCAGTGTACAACCACTGACATGCTTTTATGATTATCATGATACAGATTTAACAAGATATTCATGATCAGCCAATATTAATTTGTGTGCATTGTCCAGAACATTTCAGATATTCCAGAATATTCCACAGCCCTGCTTTGAAAAGCACTATGTAGCCTTGGGTCATAATCTGCTTTGCTTTGTGGCGTATTTGTGGCAGTTGTTAAAAGTTGAGAAAGATGAAGTGTAGTTGTGAATTAGCTCTGTGTGTTATCTCCATGCGTATCTCAACATTTTTGGTTGGTTATAATCCAGTTTGCTTCAAATTTCATATGTATTTAAGGGTATACTTTTAATGAATATACTTTTGTGTAAACCTAGAAGTGCTGGGGGGGATGTATCATGTGGTCAGAAGTGTAATTCCATGTTTTCTTCCCCACAGAACGCCATAGTGTCTGTTAAAGAACTGTGCGGACTCCCTCCAATTGCCAGTCTGAAGCAGTGCCTGTTGACCCTGTCCTCTCGGCTCATCACCAGTGACAATACTCCTTCCGTCTCTCTTGTGATGAAAGACAACTTTCCTCATCTGGAGCCTCTGGGGGCAATTCCAGATGTGCAGAAAAAGATGCTGGCTGCCTATGATCTGGTAGGAAATTGTTACTCTCTATTTTTTCTCTGTGTTGGGAGGAAATCATATGGCAGGGGCTCTTTTGTGGAACTCCAGTGAATAACACAGAGTGACTGCCTTTAAAACCTCAACTGGGAGTGGCAGGCAGAGCTGGCCCACTCAGCCCCACCTAAGCCCCAGTAGAGACCTCTGAGGCAATGCTTTGAACCTAGAGCTCCACAGATTAAAACTGGAAAATCTCTGCTTTAGCAAGCAATGAATTATTGATTAAGTCCTCAAAACTATGCACAATTTCTCATCATCTAAATGACTTTAGCCTGCAATGTAACCATTTAATTGCATACCTATAGGAAGTAAAATTATGCCTCAGTACTGCCTTATGATGGTTGAGACAAACTATTTCTCTGGAATTTATATTTCTAAGCTAATACTGTTATCTGATTTTTCTGAATATATAATGGAATTTAAATAGCAAATAAATTTAAGAATAACTGTATTTTTGCATATCCTAATTCCATAAAAAAATTAGGACCAAATGAAAAACTGGAAAAATTTGTGACATGTGTGCCAGGTAAAGTGTAAATAACCTTAAAATAGAAAGAGCACTTAAAAATCAATGAGAAAAAAAATGAAAAAAATCTTAATCTACATCAGTCAGGATTAAGTTCAGCTTCATGAAACTAAAAATGCAAACTAATCATGGCTTAAAAATACAAAGTTTTATTTTCTCACATAAAAATCTGGAAACCAGCCATGCAGGGTGGCACTTACATACAATTCTTAAGAACCTAGGCTCCCTCTAGCTTTCTGCTCCACCATCTCTAGCACATCCTCATGGTCCAAAATGGCTGTTGAAGATCCAACCATAATATCTGCATTCTAACCATCAAGAATGATGAAGAGGAAAAAGAGGGCATTATCCTCTCCCTTTAAGGACGTTTCTCTGAAAAAGCATAGATCACATTTGCCTACCTGGAGCTGACACGTAGACACACTTAGCTGCAAATGAAAACGGGAAATGTCTTTATTTTAAAGGGCTATGTGCTCAACTAAAAGTCATTTCTTCTGTTACTAAGAAACAGAGGTAGAGTGGATATTAGGGGACAACAAATAGTCTTTGCTTCAGAGGTGAACAGGCAATTTATATATCTCCTCACCCTTAAAAAATAATGAAATTGTAACAACATATTTAACCTTAAAATAAGTTTTAGATTTAAGATGTTAAATAAATATAATGAGATACTTCTCCTCTCCATCAAACTGGCAATCTTTTTCTTTTTAAAAACTGTACCTCTGATAAAGAATTTAAGGAAATGGATACTCTTATCCATCTACCTTCAGTGGGAAAATAAATTGATATAATTTGGGGGGAAAATTTGGCAATATAATTTAAAATGTTTATCCCATTTGATCCATGTATTTCATATCCAGGGATTTATTCTAAGCCAATAGATGTGTACATAAACATTTATGGTTAATAATGTCAGCATAGAGGGATAAGTTAAATAAAATACAGTAAGCCATATTATGGACTCCTTTGAAACCATTAAAATTGTATGTTAGAATACTTAATGATGTGAAGAATTCCTCATAATTTGTACGTTAGAATACTTAATGATGTGAAGAATTCCTCATAACATGTTTGGTGAAAGAGTCTGGTTACAAAAAAATATACACTATAGCATTTAAGTTGTATTTATATGTATACACACCTAAAATGCTAGCAGGATATTAATAGTGATTATTTTTAAATAAGGAGAGTGAGTTTTATTTTCTTGCATATGCTTTTCTATATTTTTTCCGTATTTGCCAAACTATTTACAATGAACCTGACTAATTTTCATAATTAAATAAAAATAAATGTAAAGGAAGAAAAGAATAATATTTTATCATCCAAAAACAACTAGAAGAGAGACGTTGGGGATAAATATCCTACACCTGAAAAGGAAGAAAAGCCCACAGAGTATATTCTGCTTATGAATGATTTTACGTCTTACAAACTGTACTTCATGGTTGCTGGGGGATAAGTTTGCTTATAACCTAAATAGCATTTTTCATGAAATCAATTTTTTCATCATAATAGTAGGGACTGAAAGCTATTCAGTGAATAGGTATAGTTGCCATCTAAGAGGTGAAATTAGGATACCTGTTGCCATAGAGACAGACAGTGGAAATCACTTATTGTTCCAATTCTCTTTTAAGCTAAGAAAGAAAAATCACTCACTGAGAGGGGAGCCTGGTCCCCTGGAGCTGGGCCTGTAATAAGCAGAAAAGCACCTGGACTGTGGTCGGCCAATTTCCATTTCACATCCCCAAGCGTCCCATGGTGTTGGTACCACATCTGCTGGCCAAATATGAACATCAGCCTTTTCTCATTTGTATTTCTAAAATGCAATTTCTAATTGCAGGTACAGCATGGTTTTCCAAAGCTTAAAATCAAAGGCTATAGTGGCAAGCAAAAATACTTCTTTTTATTTAATTTAATTTTATTTTTTGGCCGTGCCACGTGGCTTGTGGGATCTTAGTTCCCCAACCAGGGAGTGAACCTGGGCCCTCGGTAGTGAAAGCGTCGAGTCCTGACCACTGGACTGCCAGGGAATTCCCATGGAAAGCAGAAATACATCTAATGAAGTGTTCATTTATAGTTCCCTATGGAAATGATATTTCATTTTGGTAGGGAATTAAGTATAAATATCCCTGTACGAAATGGTAAACACGGCAGATTGTGGACATAATCAAAAATACTGTTAATGTCTCAGCTGGTTATTTCTTTTCTGGGGTGCTGTGGATAAGGACCAGATATATGCCAGGATGATCTTGAAACACCATTTTTACTTTAGGATTTGCATTGTATTGCTTGGCATCTTTAGTACTCTTGGTGTATTCACATTAGTATTTATTTTAAAGATGTCTTTTAAGATACTCTGCAGATCCAGAGTGATCATTTAAAAATGTAAATCAGATCATATCACTTTCCTGCCTCCAGTGGCTTCCCATTAAAATAAAACTGAAACTCCTTACTGTGGCTTACAGGGCCAATTATGACCTAGCCTTGCCTACCTATCTCACCTGCTTCTTCTTGCCTCACCCCCATGCACTCTCTCCTGCTCACTCCACCCAGTCACGTGGGCTTTCAGACTCAGCTTGTTCCCATCTCCAGGCCATTTTACTTGCAGTTCCCTCTGCTTGAAGTGTTCTTCTCTTGCATGGATAGTTGCTTCTTATCTCTTAATTCTTAGCTCAAATGTCATATCCTCAGAGAAGCCTTCCCTAACCACTGTCTCCAACTGTCACTCTATCACATAACCCTATTTGATTTCCATTATCTTACTTGGCAGTATTGAAAATACTTGACTTTTTGTTTAATTTCTGTCCTTTTCCTTTACCCTCAATTTGAGTATACACTCCAGGAGGGCAGAGAAGCTGTCTGCCTTGTTTACTATTGTTAACTCTAGCACCTAAAGCACTGCTGACACATAGTATGTTATCAATTAATGTTAGTTGAATAAAATATAGATAGATGCATCTGTATAGTTGGTGAAAATAATGTGGTTCCCATGCTATCTTTGAATGTGCTTTATGGTAAATCTTTAATCCCCTTTGATTTTTGTTTTTTTTTTCGGTACGCGGGCCTCTCACTGTTGTGGCCTCTCCCGTTGCGGAGCACAGGCTCCGGACGCGCAGGCTCAGCGGCCATGGCTCACGGGCCCAGCCGCTCCGCAGCATGTGGGATCTTCCCGGACCGGGGCACGAACCCGTGTCGCCTGCATCGGCAGGCGGACTCTCAACCACTGCGCCACCAGGGAAGCCCTAAATCCCCTTTGTTATATCTCTATGACCCTACTCTAGTCAAATTGTTCCCTGTCTTACACGTATAGTTGGTAACCTATAGAGTAAGGCAAAACTATGGAGTCAGGAAAAAAGATCAGCAGCTGCAAGGGGCTGGGGGCAGGATAGGGTGAGGGAGGGATGAAGAGGTGGAGCACAGGGCATTTAAGCCAGTGAAACTATTCTGCATAACAATATAATAGTGGATACATGTCATTATGCATTACCCAAAACCCATGGAATGTACAACACAAAGAGTTAACCCTGATGTGAACTATGAACTTTAGCTAATAATAAAGTATCAATATTGGCTCATCAATTGTAGTAAATATACCACACTAATGCAAGATGTTAACAGTGGGGAAAACTGGGGGTGAGGTGGGGTGAGAGGGTACAAGGGAACTCGCTGTACTTTCTGTTCAACTTTTATGCAAACCTAAAACTTCTAAAACTAAAGCCTAAAAAAGACCCACAGAGACTATTAATAAAAACTTATTTAGGTGACTAAGGCAGAAGACGAATCTAGGGTTTATTGCCTGGTGGTGGTGGTAGGGGACAGGTTTTCCCAAATGAGCAGCTTGTGTGCTCGACTTAGGCTCAAGTTGCTTAAAGATTTCTCAAAAATGGTAATGAACTGTATAGATGCCATCCAAGTCGAGCTGTTGTAACCACTAAAAAAAGAATACAGATTATGTTTAGAATAAAAAGCAACCTGAAATCATTTCTGAACAGATACAAATGTTCGGCCTATTTCAGTATCAAAAGAAACAAATCAGGCAACCAGGTAACCTACATTTGTTGAAAGTCAACCTGAGTGCATCAGACTCTACTACTTATCATCAGGAAATGAAATGAAAATATTCTAGAAAACATTGACCTTGAGTTCATCTGCACAGATTTTTTTTTTTTCCTAAATTTAGCTTTGCCCTAATGACCTGAGATGGTCCTATTCTTTACCAAACACTGGCTAATTTAATATTTGGAAATATTTCCTCTAGAAGGTTTTGGAAATTCAGTCTTAAAAGTCATCTTATACTGAAATTAAAATTATAGTATCTATGTTGGTATGAAGGAATCAAAAGCCAAATATATCCATAATAGAGTGGATTTATTGGCATAATTTCAGAAGACACCCCCCACCCCCATTTCGTATCTTATTTAAGACATATATTTTCTATCTGCTTACTGGT